TGGACCCTGTAAATTGATTTAATTGATTTTTAGTATTTTGAAGTATTTTAATTAATTATGTCGTGTGTATAGGAGAATTTGGACATTCAGTGCTATACGAAAAAACGCGTAGGAGAGCAAGTATTTTTAAATCTCAACTTGGTACGAATTTCAAACGGTGCATTCATTTTATTAAATTATGAATTTTGAAATTTGAACGGAACGCACGTTGACCCAATTTTTGATAAAGAACAGAATCTAAATTATGATCAGTAAACCTAAGTAATTGGAGCCCTATGAGGAGACGAAATCAAAAAACTGACCCAATGGACTGAGAATTATTTGGATTGATAAAATCTGAAATTAAAAAATAAATCCCCAATTAAGGAAAAATTGAAAGAGAAAAAGAAATAAAATAAAAATATAAAAATAGAAAGGAAAAGAAATAATTGATGTTAAGAAATGATTATTTAAACAAACTAATAATTTTGGAATGAGAGGGTAGGAGTGAATAGGGTAGGGACCTTGAATACCTTCTCATTTAGTCTGAATCGAGGAGGAGAATGTGTGTGTGTGGCTAAAGTTCAGCGGGCATGGTGAACCTACAAATGAATAAAGTTTGAAACCTAATCCAGATGTAGATATGTATTCGTGTGAGTGTGGGTCGTTTAGCAAACATACCTATTGTGGCCATTATTTGATTTGTGTGCGTGTTATCCATGTGATGATGGGATCCATTTCACCTTTTCTCGATGATAGCATAAATGGCATTGCGCAATGAAACTTTAGAAATGACATTTCGAGTGTATAAGTGATCTCTTGTGTATATGTGATTATGTTTCGAGATTATAAACGAGATTCGAGCGTATTTGTGATCTTTTGTGTGTATGATTATGTTTCAAAATGACGACTGATATTTGAGTGCATTTATGACTTTCGAGAGTATTAGAATATACAGTTAAAGTTTGTATGTAATATTCGAGAGAATTCATAAGATTAATCAGGAACATGTAAAATAATAAAAAATAAGAATATGAATTTTGCACTAAAATATTTTATTGCTTTTGCTTCTTACTGTGTGTTTTGTATGGAATTTTATCTGGGTTGAGAGAATGAAAAAATTTATTGAGTTAGTGAATCTCATTAAATTTCACTCTGATATTTTTCAGATGAGAATTAAGAGCCAACACCATTACCAAACGAGTAGAACCTATAAAAGGGTTCTTATTTTTGTATATTTTGTGCATATTCGAAAATTTTTATTTTATTCCGTTAAACTCTAAATACTGACATCATGTTTGTATATATATAATTACTGTACATATTACATAGAATGTTAGGTTGTATTATATTTTTTATCCACGCCCATATATATTTTATAAGTCCACTGTATGAAATTGCTTGAGCAAGAATTACGTCTCATATCGAGTATCGGAGCGTGACATTTATATTATCCGAAATTACTCTTTTATTATATTTTTCATAAATATTGCACGAGCATTGAGATTTATGCTTTATTTTTCTTAATAAAAATGAAAATGAGCTTGATGTCGTGTTTGGTTTTTTAATTTTATTTTGATTATTACAGTTGACACTCAAAAATTGATAGTAAGACAATTAGTATTTATTTTACTTTTTTTTCATTTATTTTCAACATAATAATGCATAAAATAATGATTTTTTTTATCTATTTAATATGATATTATGTAAAAATTATATTTTTAAAATTTAAATATAAAATAAAGTAAAATTTTTACTAAGTACAAATTATGTAATGAATAATTTTAAATATAAAATAAAATTAGTACTAATATTTTATTCAATTAATTTTTATTCAACTACATCTTATGTATTATCTAAAATTTTAGCCACTTATTTTTTTTTTCAACAGCTCATTCATTATATAAATTTTTTTATATAAAATTAAGATATATTTAAATTTTCATTATAACTTTTTATTTTTATATAATTTTTTATTTATATAAAATAATATCTATTATTTTTATACAGTTAAAAGTTATTATAAAACTAGATTTTATGTATAGTACATAGTATGAATTTAATGTTACATTTACTTCAAAAGAAACTGACAACATTTAATTATTAGAAAAAGGAATTTAACGCGCACTATATTTAGGTCAGTTTCTGGGGCGGTCCTCGAACGAAACACAATCGGGTCAGGCTCATTTGCAGGGAGAGGAATGAGCCTGTTCGGCCTGTCAATGGTTATTTATATATATATATATTCATCTTGTCTGTTTCTTAGGGTGAGAGAAAGAGTCTATATATTCATCGCTGACCACAAGGGATCAACGAGACGCTTCCAAGCCGCCAAATAGATTGAGAGAAGTCCGCAAGCTGTGGTTTTCATAGAAGCTTACCAGAGAGATGGATGCTGGCAAATAGCCAGAGAAAGAAGATGAAGGCGACGACGACGAAGACGAAGAAGATGAAGGAAGCATCATAGAAGACATTAAGATGCAGTGTCTCAGTCGAGTCAGTAATTAACCAAATTAATATGGGTTGTTTAACATGTCTCTTGGGTGAGCCTCCTTTTAATCTTTAATAACTACGCTGTTGCATTGGATTTGGATTACGTCATGGTCGATGAAGCGGAGATTTGGGAAAACAAAGGGAAAAGTTTTTATCTTTCAATTCAATCATTGGTTGTTTAGGTCAAGCCATGAACTTGACCCGAAAAATGATCTGGGTGACTTTATTTATAATCTGGGTCAATTTAGATTACTGATGATTTTTGCTTAAATAATTTGGTTTTGTTAAATTGATTGATTGGCTTTTGAACCTCTTTTCTTGTATTTACATCTAAATATATTTGAATTATATTGTCGATTTTATTAGGTTCATAGCTCCTGAGTAGTGAGTGGAATACAGATGGATACTGGAATTAAATTCTAGTAAGTTTCCTTGTTATCTGGTTATCATTTTCAGTTATATACCTAGTGACTAGTAACCGATTTTGGGGGGGGGGGTATCTACACC